AATAAAAATGTGAAATAAACTTTGAGAATTTAACAAACTGTTTTTATGATTCAATTTGAGAAAAATGTTTCAAACACGAGTTTTATTAAAGTTTGATCAGAACCTCTGAGAGTCCAGCTTCAGTCCAGCTTCAGTCCAGCTTCAGTCCGACCAGAGTCAAGGACCCGGGACAGTTCTGGGATAGTCCTGAGTTAGTTCTGGGATAGTTGTGGGATAGATCTGTGTAAACCCTGCTTTAGTCCAGATTTAGTCTTGTGTTAGTCCTGCTTTAGTCCTGGTTTAGTTCTGGTTCAGTCGTGGTTCAGTCCAGGTCTTGGTCCAGAGTCCAGGTCTGGGTTTTGTTTGTTCACTAAACACACAAATCACATTTAAACAAACAGTCACACTTCAGTAACACGTCCACAGACCTGCCCCAGTCCAGGATTAGACCTGGACTACGACCGGTCTAGAGCCAAGATCTGAACCCCGTCCTCCTGTCCCCGTGTGTCAGATGCCCTCCCACCACTCACACAAACCAGTGCAGGAAAATGTGTGTTTAGTCCTGGTTTAGTCCTGGTTTAGTCCAGGTTTAGTCCAGGTTTAGTCCTGATTCAGTCCTGGTTTAGACCTGGTTTAGTCCTGGTTTAGTCCTGGTTTAGTCCTGGTTTAGTCCTGGTTCAGTCCTGGTTTAGTCCTGGTTTAGTCCTGATTCAGTCCTGGTTTAGACCTGGTTTAGTCCTGGTTTAGTCCTGGTTTAGTCCAGGTTTAGTCCTGGTTTAGTCCAGGTTTAGACCTGGTTTAGTCCTGGTTTAGTCCTGATTCAGTCCTGGTTTAGACCTGGTTTAGACCTGGTTTAGTCCTGGTTTAGTCCTGGTTTAGTCCAGGTTTAGTCCTGGTTTAGTCCAGGTTTAGACCTGGTTTAGTCCTGGTTTAGTCCTGGTTCAGTCCTGGTTCAGTCCTGGTTTAGACCTGGTTTAGTCCTGGTTTAGTCCAGGTTTAGTCCTGGTTTAGACCTGGTTCAGTCCTGGTTCAGTCCTGGTTTAGACCTGGTTTAGTTCTGGTTCAGTCCTGGTTTAGTCCTGGTTTAGTCCTGGTTCAGTCCTGGTTTAGTCCTGGTTTAGTCCAGGTTTAGACCTGTTTAGTCCTGGTTTAGTCCTGGTTTAGTCCTGGTTTAGTCCTGATTCAGTCCTGGTTTAGACCTGGTTTAGTCCAGGTTTAGTCCTGGTTTAGACCTGGTTTAGTCCTGGTTTAGTCCTGATTCAGTCCTGGTTTAGACCTGGTTTAGTCCTGGTTTAGTCCTGATTCAGTCCTGGTTTAGACCTGGTTTAGTCCTGGTTTAGTCCTGATTCAGTCCTGGTTTAGACCTGGTTTAGTCCTGGTTTAGTCCTGGTTTAGTCCAGGTTTAGTCCAGGTTTAGTCCTGATTCAGTCCTGGTTTAGACCTGGTTTAGTCCTGGTTTAGTCCAGGTTTAGACCTGGTTTAGTCCTGGTTTAGTCCTGGTTCAGTCCTGGTTTAGTCCTGGTTTAGTCCTGGTTCAGTCCTGGTTTAGTCCTGGTTTAGTCCTGATTCAGTCCTGGTTTAGACCTGGTTTAGTCCTGGTTTAGTCCTGGTTTAGTCCAGGTTTAGTCCTGGTTTAGTCCAGGTTTAGACCTGGTTTAGTCCTGGTTTAGTCCTGATTCAGTCCTGGTTTAGACCTGGTTTAGTCCTGGTTTAGTCCTGATTCAGTCCTGGTTTAGACCTGGTTCAGTCCTGGTTTAGTCCTGGTTTAGTCCTGGTTTAGTCCTGGTTTAGTCTCTGATCTTTCTCGTCTGTTATTTTTAGCGTCCTGATGTTTTCTCTGTAATCAGGGGTCGGGGGTCACGGGGGGGGGTGGGGTCGGGGGTCGGTCTGTCAGATGATGGGCTCGGGGTCAGAGGTCACAGGTCTCAGGGTCTGGACCTGGATCAGATAAAGTCCTCAGACGGTCCGGACTTTGAACTGAGAGACTCTGGGTTTTTTTTTGTTCAAATCTCAAATCTCTGTCAAATATCTGTTTTTATGACTCGAGACGTGACTTGATAAAACAGACTAAGACTTGGGACTCGACTTGGATTTGAAGGTCCATGACTTGGGACTTGACTCGGACTTGAGGCCTGTGACTTGAGGAGCTTTTTTAAATCTGAATTTTTTCTGTTCTGATGTAAAGATTCTCACTCAGATCTTGTCCAGACATTTAAAAAGGAAAGATTTACCTGAAGCTCCAGCAGCTCCAGCAGCTCCAGCCTCGTCCAAACCGCTCACCAAAGGTTTTCTCCAGTCCACATGTTGGGCTGAATGTCCCCAGTTTGATGAACGACCTTTGGAAATGTGTCATTTTGATGTTTAACTGTGTTAGTGTGTCCACACGTCCCTGTGTCCCCGGGACAGTCCCAGTCCTGTGTCTCTGTGTCTCTGTGTCTCTGTGTCTGTGTCTGTGTCTCTGTGTCTGTGTGTGTCTGTGTCTGTGTCTGTGTCTGTGTCTGTGTCTCTGTGTCTGTGTCTC